TACTACACTAAGCTTTTCCAAGGATTTTCACGGTTGCTTCCAGAAATATACAATTTTCAAATGAAAGAAGTGAACAGAGGGCGCAGAGTGAACGAAAGAACGCATATACTGCATCATACAGTACTTTGAATAAATCCAGGCTTTCGCCCTGTGCTGCATAAGACATCCGGCACCTACTGGGATGGTTTTGGTGGTGCAACTGGTGGCACCTTCCGGGGCTCTTGCTCTTCAGCTGGTGGCGCAGCATCCGGAGATGTTCCATTCCGTGATTCGTCCAGTGCTTCTTCCGGGAATTCCAGCTCCCATAAGCGTTTCAAGTGCTTGCCTCGAACATCACGAGGCGTTCCAAAACCCGTCATTCCTTTCTGAAAATATCAAATCATGTTACTTGCAAGTTTGTACTACAATTTCTCAACGGGTTTAAGCAAAACAATCAGAAAGCACTGTCACATAGTATTTCACATAATGATTTATGGCTTCTTGTTGTTTGGACCGAGAACAGTCTTATCTTTCGTTTGTGAGGATGTCACATAATATTTTACATAATGATTTATGTAGAATACTATGTAACAGTATCCATGGACTGCGCTGCGATTGTGATTTTTTATAGTGCAACATACAAATCTGATTCAGCAGTTCTAAATATTCGAGTATCCTAATGTACTTTCTTCTGTCTTCTTTTAAAACTTTTTGTTCGGGTTTTTCACTTCTAGAAAAATGTCATAATTTGATTTAGTAATTCGATAAAATTTCTAGCAAAATAACTCATCGTGGTGGATTGACGGCTGGCGTAGTACCTCCAAAGCAATGTTTTTGTTTAAAATCAAGTAGTAGTCGCTCTCCAGCAGAGGCAAGGATACTCGAGCAGTATTTCAAGTATAGCAGATGCCAGTAGCTTTTTGTGAAGACTATCGATGACTTCTTCTTTCGAGGACTGCTTGGAAGCAAACTGATGACGGGGGTTTGACTTCCTGACATATGCCAGTACCAATTTACCAATCGAAATGAATGAACGAATCGTAGAGAAACTGGTTGTTTCCAAAGCTAGAGGCGAACCCTCGAGTTACTGCATGACAACAATTCTACTTCGCAATGTGCTAAGCCCGACAGCTTGTTCAAAACAAGCCAGTTTTTTTTTAAAATATAACAGAAACTCAATTTACCTGAGAATCACACTTGTTTGTACCGGACTGCAATCTAATAATTGAGTCGGTAGCTCGTAGCTGTTCAATTGTCCATTTTTTGCCATTATCAGCAAACTGTACATTGAGAGCTGTATTGCGTGGCATACCAAAACCTGTTTTACCCTGAATTCAAAATATTTTTATTATTTAAAGGCAAAATCATACATTTTTCTTCAATATTTTAAGGGTCGGCCACGCTATTGATGAGATTCCGGAATGAAATCGATTAAGAGCCCGGAAATTCTTGCTTGTCATGCGCTGCATCTATCGAAAGGAAACTAAAACGGACTCCCG